TTTTTCCCTGGAAAATCTTGGAAAAACCTGGGAAAATATGAGGCAAATTTACTCATCGCTGAGTTCCTGCACTTTATTTCTTATTTCTGAGATAACTAAACTCAAATTTGGGTCAATCTCATTCGCTGTGATATCACCTTGAAAGATATCGGCGCCGGTGGTTAGCGTGATTACCTCTCATCCCAGCAGGGCTGGGTTCAACCTCAGTCGCACCGGCATGTTCTGAGGCATAACATATCTGATCCCACCTTCCTTCAAGAAGTAAAGCCGTTGGTCCCCTGTTCATGAGTTGATGGGTCGATATGTAGGGTCCAGGTGTGGGAGCTGCCTTCCTGGCGTCGGTAGCATTGGAGCTCAGTACGGAAAACAATTAATAGGTCCTATCTACATTGATCGATTCTCTTTATCGATACTCTCTTTCGTAAATAACTCGGCTTCACAAATGTTTCCTGCCGTCTTCGTCGAATTAGATGCTAGATTGTTGCTTCTTCCGTCGAAAATATCCGGCCGTGCCGATTCAAAGTTGATCAAGGATGACCCTGCTTCCAGTTTGATTACATGAGCATTTTGTGTGGTCGTTGGTTCTGAATATGGACAAACAGGCAGATGAATTCTATTCCTACTCTTTACTGTAATAAGCTTGGTGGCCCTGAAAAGAGCCGTTTTGTTGCCAAAGTTGGTGATGATTCCTCCGAAACCAAAAAGAGTGCGTTTCTGTCACTTCAAAACGTAGATGACATCCATGGCCGCTTACGCTTGGCGTGTTTAGTGTAGGTGATAGCATCACGGATCTCATTTTTCAGGAACACCTTCAGCACACCTCGTAAATCAGACCGGATATACGTCAGACACCGCCACGGCGAGCCAGACGGCGTTTGGTTCTGAGTATGGCGATGAGTGTGCAAAATATTACGCATTTCCATCCTCCCTATTCGCACGCGCCCAAGGATCGGAGGCGAATGCCACTTCGACTTGTTTCGTCTACTTACTACTCTCTGGCGACTGTGCTGGGGAAGCAGCATATGCATGTAGGTAATTGGTGGATTTGTTAGTTAATTCGACGCTTTTGGACAATGCTGGACATTTACAAGTTTTACAATAGTTTCTTGTTGAAAATTAACATTTGGAAGCATTGTTATCGATGCGTAGCCATATTTCTGATCGATTGGTGATAAAATTATTGAAATTGGACCAGGGGCAGCTGAGTTATTAACGTTCAAAATCTTTCTTAATTTGTTACATGTTCCATTTTCGGTTTTCACAAAGTGTACCCCCATATAGAAATCAAAGACGTAGTCCTACGTCAAAAATCCCCACCAGCAACATGAATAATAAATTTTGTACCTTTTATTTAATGGAGCAAAGTTGATTATTAGAAAGGCGTGAGCAAAAAATAAGCTTTTCCCATATTAATTGCCATATTAACTTCAAGTGGTCACTTGTAGTCAACAAAGGCTTTTTTTAACTTTATTTTAGAGATTTTTAGCCTTAGGCTAGTTCATCGCTTTAAGTCAACAAAGGCTTTCTTTCTTCTATTTCTGAATGATCTGTTTTTCGAGCCTAATATTTTTCTAATATATGTTTAAAATATATAGAGTCTATTCTTCTTTCTAATAACTTTCAAATTATTTCGCATCCTCACGTAGTATCCGTACTCTGTACTAGTGCGTCTCTGGTTCCTATAAATTATATTCGCGTTCAAGTTCTGTTTCCTTTGTGATGATCAACCAATTTGTGTCCCATTTCTTCGCTTTGTTGTCTTCAATTCACAGCTTTTTGTAATTTTTATAACACTGGACATTGTTTTGTTTGTTAACAATAATAACACTTTTGTGTATGCTGACATCAAATTGATTGAAACATTTAATTCTTTGCTGCTGTTTGATGTCTGTATTTATTTGTTGGCGTGCAAAATCTACATATTTTATGTGTTTTCTATTTATGACATTCACTGATTGATTCGTTTATATTTTTTCTGCATTGTTGCTATAAGCTGATATGACAAGTTGTTTTTAGCAAGGTTTGCACAAACTGCTTCGATCCGAAAAAGAGCCTACTTTGTTGCAAATAACTTTCATGGGGGCACAGAGGATGGTCAATTTGAGTTTTCTTTTAATTTATGTTTGTTTGTTTTTTGGGAATGTTGTTAACTTTGGTATCAATTCATTTAATGTTGTATCTGAGAGTACTTGTGTAACTTTTCATTTTTTATATTTTTCATATGTGCTCGCTTTGGAGACAGCTTCACGTAGAGTGAATTATATGTAGAAGGCAGTATGTTTCCAAAAAAGTCACAATTTTTAGATAAATGTTTGAACTAAAACAAGAGATAGTCTACATTTTAAAAATAGTATTTTCTAGAATTTTATTTTGTTGTAAGGCTTGAAAGTTTATGTCTGCTCAAGGTTCCTAGGATTCCGTGAATGCTTTCTGTTTGTCCAATTTAATGGTAATTAGAAATGTGTATTGCACGTATATTATATTTTCACTCATTATGTGCTTATGCGCTTCGATTTGTCTTTGTTTCTCTAAAAACTATGTACTAGGTTTTTAAAACATCTGGTAGCTAATCGGATTGTTTATCAACATCATATTTTTGGTTTCTTGGGTTTGCGATCTCTCAATTGTGGAAGTCATTCACATTGAGAGAAAGAGCTCATTCTACTCGTTGATTTTTTCAAACTTATTAAAACATGCTTTTTAGCTAAAAAAAAAATGTAAATAACGTCGTGTTAAAATATACCTCAGTTGAATACGTTTAGCTCATAATTTCATGTAAGAATTACTAATAAATATGATCAAATCATTGTTAATCATTGATTAAGGTTGTATAAATATTTAGACTGTAATTGACATTTACAGCATAAGTTTCCATTATGTACGGGAACCTCTTCAAAATAATTTGAATTGTCAACACTGAGATGAAGCATTCGGCTAAAACATGTATGTACAGGTTCGTCTTTTTCAATGACATAACGATTTTGAAAACAACAAAAAGCAAAAACCACAACTGATGCCGAGCTATCGATGGCCAAAGGATTAACTGCAATCATAGGCTAATCTCCCAGTAGCATACTTGCCACAAATTGGATTTAGAAACTTTAATGCGACTTATTTCAGTTACAATCAAGTCATTGCAGCTTTTTGTGACATACTTTGGCCGTAACCACACTAGTAAGCAAAGAATACTAGACATGACATCATTTTGTGTGAATATGCAGTAGTGGTTTAGAGAACCGGTCTTGTGTGTCGTTTTTTTTTATCAATCTTAACTGAAGAAATGAACGGATCGTGTTACAATTGTGGAACGAAAGACAACGAAACGTACCACGCTAGCTTTGATTTTAGATAAAGAGCGCCTTTTTGAAGGAGATTACGAAAATTTGTATATGTATTAAAATAAATTAAAATGAAGATCTTTTTACAGAAAACTCGTACAATTTAATTTCTCTCTCTTACTACCTATATATATTTGCTCTGGATTAAAACAAGATGGAAAAAAAATGTGATGACAACCATAACAACAAACCACGACGACCACCGATGGAGGCGACGATTACGATTGTGCACAGAAAGTTGTTATGATTATAATAAGATTGAAGCTAGCTGATTAGAAGCTGTGCTTCTTCATCTAATTTGCATTCCATCCCTTGATTGCGCTTCCATTCCATTCCATAGCTAAACGATATAGTGGTTCTCAGAATTTCGTAAAAATTGGTAGGTTTGTTCCTTATCGCATAATATTTGACCCGTATTTATTGTGTTGTCATTAGGGTGACCATTTCCATGTTGGGTGATCCAAAAAATCGATTTAAAAAAATGACTTCTTTTAAATTCACAATTTTTGAACCACTGAGCCGATTTCAAAGCAGTTATTATAGCAGTTGAGAAGAGAATATCTGTACAAAAGAATGTGATCAATCTTCGTGGTGTAGATGTGCTACCGTCATAAAAAAACTATGATTATAACCAATATAAAAGAGCCAATTCTGAGATGGCATTTTTCCCGAAATTAAAATCGGTTATCTTTTCCAGTATTTTAACCGATCATATCTGAATAATCCTCTAGGAGGCACAACTCACAGTCTATAATATGATTGTGTACGACAAGAGAATCACAGTTCTACAACTCTGGATGAGATTTGTGGTAAGTATACATAGTACGTTTTTGGACAGCATGCAGCATTTTCCAAGTTCCTCAATCTTGCTAATGCCGGTAAAGCATTTGTGTTTGCACAGAATGGTGCAGATAGCATTAAGAATTTGAAAGGGATGAGAATTATCCCTGCTCATTACTATCGATACGTCCTACAGGAGATCACACAAGCCCAGGATTAACACAAAGGACTTGTAGAACGGATTCGGACAGCTTTGAAAATGATCCATCCTGAAGAAAACTTCCACGTTATTAAGGAATTACATGCTTCGGTGAACCAAATTGCTTTGCCAACAGCTGTTGCATCTTTTTTGAATAACTCTGAACACAAGGAATGAATAAATGAAAGGTAATAAATTCTTTTTAAAAAACATATTTTAAAATTGGAATTTTGTATTTGTTTTTCATGGTTTTCATGGTTTGTAGACAGAGGGCGCAATATGTTTTTATATCTTTCCTTGAAAATTTACGCTTTTTTTCACAGCATATCAAAAAATCAGCGAAGTTTTTTTTTCGTTTTTTATAGGAGTAACTTAAAGAAATATAACTCAAAAACGAAAAAAACACATCACTGATCTATTGATATGTTGTGTAAAAAAAACCTTAATTTTCAAGGAAAAATATAAAAACATATTGCGCCCTCTGTCTACACTGGAAACCATGAAAAAACTAATACAATCAATGTTTTTCAATACAAAATTCAATTTTTTTTTAAATCATTGTATTTTTTACAAGTATTTTTAATCACCTTTCATTTGATATTATGATCTTTAAGTGGTTCAAAAAAAAAATACAAATAGTATTTTGCGGTAAGGAACAAAACTAATAATTTTTAAGTTTATCTTTTTCATATAGAATGGCATATATATAACGAAATAACGAAAATGGTGGTGGGTGATTCGGATGATGATTTCTCTCTGATTTTGGTTTTCCACTCGAGTTTATCAGTGCTTCGGTTTCTTTACTTAAAGGGTTCGGTTGCGGCCGCTGGCATGTACTCCTTCAGGAGGTCACGTAGTCGTAGAATTTCTTTGCCGGCAGCGGCCAGGTCGCCTTGCAGAGAAAGTTCACGCTCCCGTAGCCGTTTGATGTCACGCTGGCAGGTCTGAAAATAAATAGATAATAATTTACATTTAGAAATTAAGGAACGGAATCTTTCATTCACACTGCAGTATCAGTGTACATGAATGCTATTTATGAATCAGTTTAATCCTTCTTAATCCGTCAGTGTTCTTGCAAGCGACTACTACTGCCTCTACCCTTAACATAAATTAACTACTGTTCCCATAGATGTCACCACGGTACCATTATGATCGCGCACGGATAGGACCCGATTTGTACATAGTGTGATAAAAGGAAATATTGAAACGATAAATTGACCGTCTTGCCATGGCGGAAGTATGGGAACGTTTATTTATTGTAACATAACAAGGACAGTACATAACAAGCAATTCCAATGATACGAAGACAAGTGGCGACATCTATGGGCAGGTACAGTAGCTAAAAAGTAGAGGCAGTAGTGGTCGCTTGCAAGAACAATCAGTTCTCGCTAGTATCGTTGAAAAAAAACCAACTGTCAGCTATTGTGGATAGTACACTAATAAAGATTTAAAAAAACTTCAAATTTATCCAACATCAGAAAAATTGTCTATACAGGGCCGGTAATACTTGCTTGAAATGTACCACCATTAGTATCACATAAAATGCCTCACATTTTTAAAACTTTTAGTGCCGACCTTTTTTAAATGCATGAATTTGTGATTTTTGAATATGAACAAGATGTTATTTTACAGAACAGATTTCAACATGCCATGAACAATTTGCCAAGAACGCTTCATATACAGTAGTTTTATTATTATCAGTATCTTCCTATGCATGGTCGTATTTATATTTATGGAAGCTCAGGGCCATAAATATGTGGGAACCCATCGAATGCACCAAGTGGATTTGTACAGTAATTAATTTTCAGAATCTTCAAACCAAACTTCTTACTAATTAATTTATTCCTTTATTTGTATCTTATGATTAATATGATCCCAGGCCATTTTTTCAATCTTGATTACTGTCGTGGCGGGCTTTTTTGGACTGTACGGGCTATCCAAGTAACATACATGTTTTATAGCAGTGTATGTAACCTCAGTATGACTGGTTTTGGTTGTAAAGAAGTTTGCTCAACATAATTCAATCAATGTGTGTTACTTGGGTACTTTGGATACTTTCAAACTTGATGAATCATATGAAGTAGATTAAAGAATGGATTAAATGTTTATCCACAACTAGTTACTGGGACTACAATTTACTCGATCGTATTAAATCCTCAGTTAAGCTCTTCCCAGAATTAAACCGAAAAATGTACCAACAAGTTTTATTAAAAGTGACCTTCCCAAAAAATTTACCCAAAGGCGTTGTTGAAACTTGTGACAACAAGCCCCTATCGGGAGTCGATAAGCATTCATAATACTGGATAGTGCGGCACTTTTTCCATATGTCGATGGTTATCTCGGCCCCTTCAAACGGTCTAGTAGGCTATTCTTGTTCTATATCTCGATCTCTTAATATCGAGCGATAGCAGTGCTATAAAGAGCAACCACTCAACCGAACGAGCCAGCAATCCACTAGTATACTGCTGTTCGGTGCGCTCAAGTCTGAGAACCATGAAAGTTTGTAATCAGTAATGATTGAACTAATGTTTGTTTAGAATTAATGAAACTATTATTCATATTGTTGCTTGTTGAATGATGAATGAATAGTAAAGCACTAATGGCTCATTTATATACATAAAACAGATAAGAATTAGGGAACTAAGTAACATGAATTCCAGTATAAGCGGTCGAATTAAATACAGAAACACACCTACTGTTATACACCTACACTTTGCATACAGAAAATAAAGAATATAAAAAATTCCAAGATCATAACCAAATTCGATCAAATTAGGCAGTTTTTTGGGACCTCAATACAATCGAAAGAGCAGTGGGGAGCAGAGAGTTGTAAAGTTGACCCACGCTAGTGGTCATACAAAAGGCGAAACTGTCAAATTCTCACTATATTCAAATTACTATTTGATATTTACCCATGCTAATCATAATCATGAAATCGGAAAAATTCGTTCACATACGAATACAATATACTAAAATGGAGTACACATCTACTTACCACATTCTGCCTCAGGAGATCCAGTTTATCACACTTTAGTCGGGTAATTTCTTGCTTAAACCCGTCCATTTGCTGCATAACATCCGGCGTTATCAGGAGTGTCCCAGTGCCTGCACCACTAACGGTATTGCCACCGCCGCCACCACCACCACAACTACTCACATTCGTACCGGCACTTCCGGTACTGCACCGCAGATCACGCGTGCTATCACACCCAGTGCTTCCAGTTCCGACGCTGACGCTGATCACGCTGCCACCTCCGTTCGTTGATCGCTCCACCCGGTCCCCGTCCAAGCAGAGCGAACAGGCTTTGGTTGTAGCATCAGCCGAGGACATCGATTCCAGCCCGGTGTCACTGTCAATGTACGTCGCTCCGGCATCTACATTTGGGAAAACTTTGATTCGTAAATCAATTTTGAAATTAGGATTAAATAAAAAATGAAACAAAGTGCCAGTCGGGAAAACCAAAAGCAACGCAAATGTGTGGGCAAATTGTTGTAATTTGTTTGAAAATTTGCAGCAAAAAGCGAAGAAAGAGAAAAAATGGGAAAAAGAGAGCAAAACATTGAATTATTAGTATACAAATTGGCTAAAGCTACCATGAAGACTGTTATGAACAATAACTGCGGCTATTACGCGCAATCAAGTTGCATTGCGGATATGGTTGGTGAGTGAAAATGTGAGAAGGGGATGACACTTACCCATCGGATCCAGATCAACACTGTTCAAGATGGAGTCATCACTAGTTTCGGACATTGCCACTGGACCGTTAATATTGTTGTTGTTATTATTGCTAACGCCATCGGAAAGTCCTTTAGCACTATGGGCACCATTACCACCGTGATGGTTGTTGTTGGTTGTGTTGTTATTATTGTTGTTCATGTTGTTCGGATTGATCGAACAGCGGGATGTGATGTCCGGTGAGGAGGCTACTGAATCGTTGGGAGACTTCCGCGAGCCCGTCGTGCTACTTTTCGAAAGTGATCGACCGATCTGTTTCGGGGTGAAGTTGGCCAATAGAATTTAGGAGTTAAAGCTAAAACAATAATAATACTTACATTAACTACTTGTCCCGGTCCACAGGGCACGTCGGAGATCTCCTTCGATTTCTTGATGGAATTCTGATGCTTTGGATTGGATTCGACGCTTCCGTTCGTGGGATCAGAATTTTGTGAGCGAAGACGAGCGTTTAGAGCTTTCTTTACTGTGTCGATAAATCGCGAACCGGTAAAGCCACCTTCGGATTTGGGCGTTTCCGGAGTAGGAGAAGAAGGAGCTCCTAGCAAATCAGCTCCTAAAAATTCTCGCGTTTTCTCCTTCAGTTCATCTACTAAATTCTGAAGTAATGACGTTCTCGTACGCAGCTCTAACTGAGCAAATTTGTCCGCTTTGTAGCAAGCCTTTTCTGCGTTGATCAGCTTGGTGAGGAGAAATTCTTTCAGCTCTGGTCCCTTCTTAAATACTGATGGTTGGGGGAGGGTTGGGCCAAAGAACGGCACATCATCCCGAGCAGTTACTGAAATCTTATACCGGCAATTTGGTGTGTTTGGATCCACAGGCTGGATAACGATGAACGCGTGCAGGAAATGACTTGCAATCATCGCTGGGGAGAAAGGAGTGTTTTCCTCCTGGAATACGATTGCCACGATATCGTTACCGATGTGGCGCTTCCGTTGTAATTGTTGGGGATCGCCTTCGGTGTACGGTAGAAGCGTAGACACATGGAACATAATTTCCCGTTCTTTGAATATTTCGTATACAGCGGTGTCACCGGTGTGACCGTTCTGAATATCCAGACCACCTCTGTAACCTTTGTGATCACGAAGTCGTATTCGTTGTCCCAGTAGGTCGAGGAACTCTTCGAGTGCTGGAGTCGTGTCGCTGTTGCAGAAGAGTTCTTCCTCCGTGGTCTGCCCGTACCGTTGATATAAAACGCCAAATTTAAAGTTCGTTACTAACACGTGTTCATCGTAACTCGCGATTAACGTGGACGCTTTCGGACACAGCACAGGCATGAAACTATCTACGTTGATCTGTTCATTTAGAAGTCGTGCCATCTTGATCGGAGACGGGTTTGATCCTAAACACGAAGCTGGAATGATTTCGTGCATGGTTCCGGTTCTTAGTCGGAGTAATATTCGAATGTGATCTTGATTTGCTACATTCTCCGACTTGATCGAGAGCAATACTGGACCGAGTTGATCATCGTGACCTACAAGATTCGAGTGTTCCCGTGAGCTGAAAAACCTTCGGTAACATTTGGCCGTGTCGTCAGATTCGATCTTGCCCACCCGCCACGTAGTGTGAGAAGGGATGTCATAGCCTGAATCATGATCAGTACCGTCTAGCCAATAACCCCCACTGTTACTGTTTTTATCATTCCCTACACCCACGGGACAAGACAATGCACCATCCTACAATGGTTACAAGTACTTCTGAACCCGTTTAGGGTGCCATTTTGACGGTACAAACATCGCCAAAAATGCATTTTTTTCACTTCGGTTGAACCCCAAAAATGCATACTAAACGCATTCTGATCCTGTTTTTATCATTCCCTACACCCACGGGACAAGACAATGCACCATCCTATAATGGTTACAAGTACTTCTGAACCCGTTTAGGGTGCCATTTTGACGGTACAAACATCGCCAAAAATGCATTTTTTTCACTTCGGTTGAACCCCAAAAATGCATACTAAACGCATTCTGATCCTGTTTTTATCATTCCCTACACCCACGGGACAAGACAATGCACCATCCTATAATGGTTACAAGTACTTCTGAACCCGTTTAGGGTGCCATTTTGACGGTACAAACATCGCCAAAAATGCATTTTTTTCACTTCGGTTGAACCCCAAAAATGCATACTAAACGCATTCTGATCCTGTTTTTATCATTCCCTACACCCACGGGACAAGACAATGCACCATCCTATAATGGTTACAAGTACTTCTGAACCCGTTTAGGGTGCCATTTTGACGGTACAAACATCGCCAAAAATGCATTTTTTTCACTTCGGTTGAACCCCAAAAATGCATACTAAACGCATTCTGATCCTGTTTTTATCATTCCCTACACCCACGGGACAAGACAATGCACCATCCTATAATGGTTACAAGTACTTCTGAACCCGTTTAGGGTGCCATTTTGACGGTACAAACATCGCCAAAAATGCATTTTTTTCACTTCGGTTGAACCCCAAAAATGCATACTAAACGCATTCTGATCCTGTTTTTATCATTCCCTACACCCACGGGACAAGACAATGCACCATCCTATAATGGTTACAAGTACTTCTGAACCCGTTTAGGGTGCCATTTTGACGGTACAAACATCGCCAAAAATGCATTTTTTTCACTTCGGTTGAACCCCAAAAATGCATACTAAACGCATTCTGATCCTGTTTTTATCATTCCCTACACCCACGGGACAAGACAATGCACCATCCTATAATGGTTACAAGTACTTCTGAACCCGTTTAGGGTGCCATTTTGACGGTACAAACATCGCCAAAAATGCATTTTTTTTCACTTCGGTTGAACCCCAAAAATGCATACTAAACGCATTCTGATCCTGTTTTTATCATTCCCTACACCCACGGGACAAGACAATGCACCATCCTATAATGGTTACAAGTACTTCTGAACCCGTTTAGGGTGCCATTTTGACGGTACAAACATCGCCAAAAATGCATTTTTTTTCACTTCGGTTGAACCCCAAAAATGCATACTAAACGCATTCTGATCCTGTTTTTATCATTCCCTACAGCCACGGAACAAGACAATGCACCATCCTATAATGGTTACAAGTACTTCTGAACCCGTTTAGGGTGCCATTTTGACGGTACAAACATCGCCAAAAATGCATTTTTTTCACTTCGGTTGAACCCCAAAAATGCATACTAAACGCATTCTGATCCTGTTTTTATCATTCCCTACACCCACGGGACAAGACAATGCACCATCCTATAATGGTTACAAGTACTTCTGAACCCGTTTAGGGTGCCATTTTGACGGTACAAACATCGCCAAAAATGCATTTTTTTTCACTTCGGTTGAACCCCAAAAATGCATACTAAACGCATTCTGATCCTGTTTTTATCATTCCCTACACCCACGGGACAAGACAATGCACCATCCTATAATGGTTACAAGTACTTCTGAACCCGTTTAGGGTGCCATTTTGACGGTACAAACATCGCCAAAAATGCATTTTTTTCACTTCGGTTGAACCCCAAAAATGCATACTAAACGCATTCTGATCCTGTTTTTATCATTCCCTACACCCACGGGACAAGACAATGCACCATCCTATAATGGTTACAAGTACTTCTGAACCCGTTTAGGGTGCCATTTTGACGGTACAAACATCGCCAAAAATGCATTTTTTTTCACTTCGGTTGAACCCCAAAAATGCATACTAAACGCATTCTGATCCTGTTTTTATCATTCCCTACACCCACGGGACAAGACAATGCACCATCCTATAATGGTTACAAGTACTTCTGAACCCGTTTAGGGTGCCATTTTGACGGTACAAACATCGCCAAAAATGCATTTTTTTCACTTCGGTTGAACCCCAAAAATGCATACTAAACGCATTCTGATCCTGTTTTTATCATTCCCTACACCCACGGGACAAGACAATGCACCATCCTATAATGGTTACAAGTACTTCTGAACCCGTTTAGGGTGCCATTTTGACGGTACAAACATCGCCAAAAATGCATTTTTTTTCACTTCGGTTGAACCCCAAAAATGCATACTAAACGCATTCTGATCCTGTTTTTATCATTCCCTACACCCACGGGACAAGACAATGCACCATCCTATAATGGTTACAAGTACTTCTGAACCCGTTTAGGGTGCCATTTTGACGGTACAAACATCGCCAAAAATGCATTTTTTTCACTTCGGTTGAACCCCAAAAATGCATACTAAACGCATTCTGATCCTGTTTTTATCATTCCCTACACCCACGGGACAAGACAATGCACCATCCTATAATGGTTACAAGTACTTCTGAACCCGTTTAGGGTGCCATTTTGACGGTACAAACATCGCCAAAAATGCATTTTTTTCACTTCGGTTGAACCCCAAAAATGCATACTAAACGCATTCTGATCCTGTTTTTATCATTCCCTACACCCACGGGACAAGACAATGCACCATCCTATAATGGTTACAAGTACTTCTGAACCCGTTTAGGGTGCCATTTTGACGGTACAAACATCGCCAAAAATGCATTTTTTTTCACTTCGGTTGAACCCCAAAAATGCATACTAAACGCATTCTGATCCTGTTTTTATCATTCCCTACACCCACGGGACAAGACAATGCACCATCCTATAATGGTTACAAGTACTTCTGAACCCGTTTAGGGTGCCATTTTGACGGTACAAACATCGCCAAAAATGCATTTTTTTTCACTTCGGTTGAACCCCAAAAATGCATACTAAACGCATTCTGATCCTGTTTTTATCATTCCCTACACCCACGGGACAAGACAATGCACCATCCTATAATGGTTACAAGTACTTCTGAACCCGTTTAGGGTGCCATTTTGACGGTACAAACATCGCCAAAAATGCATTTTTTTCACTTCGGTTGAACCCCAAAAATGCATACTAAACGCATTCTGATCCTGTTTTTATCATTCCCTACACCCACGGGACAAGACAATGCACCATCCTATAATGGTTACAAGTACTTCTGAACCCGTTTAGGGTGCCATTTTGACGGTACAAACATCGCCAAAAATGCATTTTTTTTCACTTCGGTTGAACCCCAAAAATGCATACTAAACGCATTCTGATCCTGTTTTTATCATTCCCTACACCCACGGGACAAGACAATGCACCATCCTATAATGGTTACAAGTACTTCTGAACCCGTTTAGGGTGCCATTTTGACGGTACAAACATCGCCAAAAATGCATTTTTTTTCACTTCGGTTGAACCCCAAAAATGCATACTAAACGCATTCTGATCCTGTTTTTATCATTCCCTACACCCACGGGACAAGACAATGCACCATCCTATAATGGTTACAAGTACTTCTGAACCCGTTTAGGGTGCCATTTTGACGGTACAAACATCGCCAAAAATGCATTTTTTTTCACTTCGGTTGAACCCCAAAAATGCATACTAAACGCATTCTGATCCTGTTTTTATCATTCCCTACACCCACGGGACAAGACAATGCACCATCCTATAATGGTTACAAGTACTTCTGAACCCGTTTAGGGTGCCATTTTGACGGTACAAACATCGCCAAAAATGCATTTTTTTCACTTCGGTTGAACCCCAAAAATGCATACTAAACGCATTCTGATCCTGTTTTTATCATTCCCTACACCCACGGGACAAGACAATGCACCATCCTATAATGGTTACAAGTACTTCTGAACCCGTTTAGGGTGCCATTTTGACGGTACAAACATCGCCAAAAATGCATTTTTTTTCACTTCGGTTGAACCCCAAAAATGCATACTAAACGCATTCTGATCCTGTTTTTATCATTCCCTACACCCACGGGACAAGACAATGCACCATCCTATAATGGTTACAAGTACTTCTGAACCCGTTTAGGGTGCCATTTTGACGGTACAAACATCGCCAAAAATGCATTTTTTTCACTTCGGTTGAACCCCAAAAATGCATACTAAACGCATTCTGATCCTGTTTTTATCATTCCCTACACCCACGGGACAAGACAATGCACCATCCTATAATGGTTACAAGTACTTCTGAACCCGTTTAGGGTGCCATTTTGACGGTACAAACATCGCCAAAAATGCATTTTTTTTCACTTCGGTTGAACCCCAAAAATGCATACTAAACGCATTCTGATCCTGTTTTTATCATTCCCTACACCCACGGGACAAGACAATGCACCATCCTATAATGGTTACAAGTACTTCTGAACCCGTTTAGGGTGCCATTTTGACGGTACAAACATCGCCAAAAATGCATTTTTTTCACTTCGGTTGAACCCCAAAAATGCATACTAAACGCATTCTGATCCTGTTTTTATCATTCCCTACACCCACGGGACAAGACAATGCACCATCCTATAATGGTTACAAGTACTTCTGAACCCGTTTAGGGTGCCATTTTGACGGTACAAACATCGCCAAAAATGCATTTTTTTTCACTTCGGTTGAACCCCAAAAATGCATACTAAACGCATTCTGATCCTGTTTTTATCATTCCCTACACCCACGGGACAAGA